GTTTGTGTTTTGTGTGTGTTTTGTGTTTTTGTTGTGTTGGGTTGTGCGTGTGTGTGTGTGTGGTGGTTTATAATTCACTGTTTATTTTTGAGCGTACTACCCTGCCGGTCATTTGGTGTTGGTGGGTGTGGTTGGACAAGTTGCTGAGGTTAGAATATATGCTCCTGTGGTTTCTGTGTTTTTTTATTACGTAGTGGAGCGATGATTGCGTTTTTAATTGAGCTTAGGGTGTCAGAACAGTTTTATCTTATTGGTTTCATGAAATGATAGGGTTTTAACGTATGTTTCTCATCGAACACACCACTACACGACACTCTCACACACACACTACCAGGGGTGTTGGCGACATCTGATCACACACACAGTCCCGAGTATTTAAACAATATGCTGTACACATGTTCTGTTGTGTTGTCGCGAGTCTGGTCATACTGGTATCGGAATTTTATTATTTTGCTGCTAGTCAGCTCTATTGAAGTTGATTTCACTGTCTCGGTGTGTTAATGGTCCTCGTGTTTTTCGTTTCTTCCAAGCAGATGGTGCAGCGCCTTTGAGGAAAGACACTCCCGCGGCTTTGACTGTCCTTGGTGCTGGGTGGGTTCATGAGTTGGCCTGACTGCTCATCACTTGTTGTTTGGTGGTTTTTTTGGATGTTCTCAAGCTGCGGGCGTCAGATGGCGGTCGGCGGCGGCGCGCCCCTCCCCAGGCGTCTGGCTGCTCCCTCCGCCGCACCACCTCCTCCTCCACCTGTAGGGTTTCGGCCTCCGGTTCTGGGCCTCCTTCGGCAGCACCAGCCGGCCTGGCTGCCCGCCGTCGTCTCCACGGCCACCACATGCACCGACCACGCATACCACCTGGTGTGGGGGTGTGTTTATTGGGGGTTTTTGTGTTGATTGTACAACTTTATGGCACAGATCTCCGGATGTGTGCCCGTGAAATGTGGTGGTTGTGGGACCGGGTTCTCTCAGGTGGGTTTTGTTGGGTTAGGCGGATGCTAGGCGGCGTCTCCTGCAGTCAGCCCCCTCTGTCGTAATCAGCGCTCCACGGCCAGTAGAGTTGAGATGTATCGTTGGGTGATTGTGACTGGGGCCGTGGCGGGCCGGGGCGGGGCCCGTTCCAGTGTGCCAAATGAGAATGGGGGAGGGGTTGGGTGGGAGGGAGGGGGGGGGAGGGGTTCGTGTGTGGAATGAGAGGAAATGGAAAAAGACAAAGAAACTGCTGTTTTCTTTTCCTCTCTGTCTTCATCACAAGTCAGCCGAGGAAGAACCTGGAGGGGCGCTGAGGGAACGATCATCAATGCAAACAACGAGTCCAGGACCCGAACAGAGAGACCCACGAGGACCGGAGCCACGAGGACCGGAGCCACGACACCTGTCCAAGTGCTCTGTCTTTTATTTCTGTTCTTAGAAACTTTGATCGGGTTCAGGAGCGACAATAACCAGCAGATAAACGACGAGACCGGCGCTCG